GTCCTTGGGGTTTTATGCATTTTTACGTAAATTCAGAGACTATTTTTAAGAGCGGTTTTAGATTTGCAGAAAAACTGAAAGTACAGAGTTCCCATATACTCCCTGTGAAGGAAAAAAAAAATGGCTTTCCTCTTTTTGTGCAAGGGAAAAACCCGGTTCTTCTCTACTGGGTCTTTCTTATTTTTACAGGGACATTTCACTTCTGACACCACCGGTCACCGAATGCATAGGATTCTCCCTACAGTAAGCAATTCCTGGGTGTCCTACAATGTAATTCAATTCTGACCTGTCTACCTGGAGATCGTTTGGATCCCACAGGCTAAGGGCTCAGTCCCTTAAGACGATTCCCGTCCCACTTCGGATGCCAATCACTAGTAGGTTCCCACGTTACCTATGACTGCTGTCTAGTTTGGCTACAAATCAGAGATTCCCATGATCCCCTTCTCGTGTTCAATGAATGTGCCAGAGCATCTCACAGAGCTGTCACAGAAACACTTACATTCACTAGTTTATTAAAGGGTGTGATAAAGGACACCGGCGCACATACAGGTGAAGAGATACACGGGGTGGGGTCTGGGAGGCTCCAGGGAACAGGACCTTCTGTCTCTGTGGAGTTGGGGCGCGTCCCCCTCCTGGTGTGGGTATGTTCCAAACTCCATACTACTGGGTTTTATGGAGGCTTCCTCACGTAAGCATGATCAATGATTAACTCCCTTTCCAGCCCCTCTTCCTTCTCTGGAGGATAGGGTTGGGGTGAGGCTGGAAAGTCCAGGCCTCTAAGCATGGCTGTCTTTCAGGTGACCGGCCCCATCAAGGAGCCACCGGGAACCTGCCCAGAGTCGCCTCATTGGAACAATAGATGCTCCTGGCGTTCTCATCACTTAGGAATTTATGAGGGTTTTAGGAGCTCTGCCTGACGGACAGGGTCAAAGGCCAAATAGCAGAACAATAGATTCTCCTGGCTTCTTATCACTTATCACTCTAGGAAATCGCTGGAGTTCTAGGAGTTTAGTGCCAGGCACTGGGGGGAGAGACCAACTTACACATTTTCTATTCTCTCACACCCCCTCACTCTCCACCCACGTAATTTCCCCTACTGTTAACATCTCACATTAGTTTGGCACATTTGCTCCAACAGACGAGCCAATATCGATACCGTATGATGAACCAAAGTCCACAGTTTACATTAAGGACCCATGTTTGTTTGTTTGGTTTGCTTCTCTTCCACTGCGCTGGGAAGAAGCAGCAGTCTATAAACACAAGAGTTAAATCCTCTTGTGTTCCACAGAAACTCCCCTCTGTAGCCTTCTGGCTACCCCAGTTCTGGAGTTCCCTGCATCCTGCTTACCCCTTCTTTACCGATTCTTACTCATTCTTCAGCCTGCCTTCATTGATCTTCTTCCCTCATTAGTTTACTGAAATCGATCTCTCCAAAGAAAACACTTCTTCCCTTACTGCTAAATTCAGGTAATACGCGTTATCCCTTATCACACTGGACTGCTCACAGCACAGGACACTGTTCACCCTCGCCCCTTGCTTGAAATATTCTTTTATCACGTCTTCTCCCTTTCTGGTCTCCGGCTAGTTCTGTCTGCTGGTTGCTCCTTCCCTGGCTCTCCGCTAGCCATCTTCTGAGATGTTCCTAGTGATCCCTGCCCTTGATATCACCACAGTGAAGTCGCTTCCCTTGCTGACCTGGATCGATCCACTGATCCAAGTGGCCAGGGGAATACAGACTGCTTCATGAGGGTTCCACGAAGCACCCACATAATTCACCATTATATCCTCTGACAAACAGAAAGTGCTCAGCTCACATTTGTTGAATTTGCCGAGGCTCCTCTCCTCCCTGTAGGGCTCTCCCCCCCACCCTCACCTCTATGAAGTTCTATGGCACTTTACTGGACCCATCATCTGGCACTTAACACGTTTTGCATTTATTTTTAGTATTTTCTAAAATTGTTCAATTCTGTTAGAGTCAATGAATTCAGACCTGCTATGTGGCTGGCACCAGACTCCTTGCAGGGCAATCAAAGGTCACCATAACCTTCTCCTGGAAAGCGGGCACCTTGTGGGCGGGTGGGGACAAGCCCTGACTATCTGTGAAGTGCCAACGGCACACAGACCAAGAGCCTGGTCAAGTGGTGGAGTGAAACCAACCCTGGCCTGCAAATCTCAAATTCTAGGTTCGACCTTTGACTCTTACAAGCTCTGTGACCTTGAGCAAGTCACCCCACAAACCTGAACTTATTTCCTCGTTGCGATAAAGACATAGTCATTACAGTTTCTAACCTGTGGAGGTCATCAGTTGTTAGACGCACCATGGATTCCAGAGCAGATTTTGTGCTTGTGTTGGGTGGGTGTGGGGGGGGGGGGTGTGAGAAGCACGATGTTCACTGTCTACACCAATTATAAAATGCATTCGGATTTCATGAACATTAAAATGAGCAAAAGTGCTTCTTTGAATCCAGGCAATAGTAGGTCTACGGAAGCGATCAGGTGTTCTGAATATGGAAAACCACTGTGTACCTGTGAGCTCTGACAATGGCACGCTAAAGAGGTATTTTCTGAATTAATGGCTGAGTTGCTTTTTCCTTCTTGCTTGCTCAGTCTTATCTGTGAAGGATTTGCTGGGATCATTATTAAAATTTCAAGCATACATTAAAGTGAGAGCAATGAGCTCCCCTGTACCCCTTACCCAGATACAACAAAAATCAGTACAAATGCACACTTGTTTCATCTGTAGCCCTATTTAGTTCTCCACCCCGCCCTGCCAACACCCCCTTGGATTGTTTCTTCAAGCCTATCATTTACAGATACTTTTTAAAAGTTTATTTATTTATTTTGAGAGAGAGAGAGAGAGAGAGAGATAGCATGAGCGGGGGTGGGGGCGGCATACCATGAGCAGGGGGGGGCAGAGAGAGAGGGAGAGAGAGAGACGAATCCCAAGCAGGCTCCACACTGTCAGCACAGAGCCTGACTCGGGGCTCGATCTCATGAACCACGAGATCATGACCTGAGCCAAAACCAAGAGGCAGACACTCAACCGACTGAGCCACCCAGGCACCTCCCAACAAGTGCCCTCCTTAATGCCCATCACCCATTTAGCCTGTCCCCCTCCCCATCACCGCTCCAGCAACCTTCTCTTAATCGAGACTGTATAGGCGGGGATGAACTTAAAATAACAGAAGTCAAAGGACAGTTTTGCTGAGTTTGCAGCATCGGAGGGGCGGGTAGCGTTCGGTCAACAGGCACCCACCCCAGAATCAGACACGCATTCTCTAAGCTGGCAGGGGACATTTGCTGCTCGCCGGCTTACGCAGCATTATAAACCAGGCTCCTTGGAGTTCTCCGCTTGCTATTCTGACACCTATTTGAGTTTTATACCCAAGAAGTAAATGATCTCCAAAATCAGCCAGTCATTTCTGAGTAGCGAGATAAGAGATTCATTTGAATTCATGCCTTTAAAGACGTGGGAGCCAATCAACAGCCTTCTGCAGTGAAAAAACAAAAACAAAAACAAAAAACAAAACCTGATTCTTTTCCTGAAATCCCAGCCTTCTTTACAAGATGCTGAGGAACACGGAGTTGCAGGACTGGGACACAGCCTTTCTTTTATTCCTTCCACCACCCCAGGCCCCGGCGGGGGAGGAGAATCTTTTGTCCTTATTTTCACAAGTTACCACCTGGTTTGGAACCTTCAGGGCTATTTCTGAAGCCCCATTGGTGCCTGCCAGAAATATCCTCTTGAGCACACACAGTTGAATGGAAGATAGTTTTGCGATGTTAATTTACATTTATTCCATAAAAAAGATACTGCATAAAGGCAATGTCTAACTTAAAGCAAGTTCCAACTTTTGAGACAAACATCAACGAGCGTGAGGCCACAAGCTTTAAGACCAATTTTGCACAAAACACTTATTCTGCACAAACGTGTTAAGGAGGTCTAAAGGTCTGAGATGAAGTCCTGCCCTCAAACTGCCCACAGTCTAGTTGGACAGACAAACCCAAGCTCAGGGAACAATCCAAGAGTGAAAGCGCAAGTGTGGACAAATACACAAGCCATGAACGAAGGCACCGTATGGCTGGGCTTGCAAAAGTGTTTCAGGTAATATGTTCTAGTGGCTTTGAATGGAGGGATCACAGTGCTCTGAAAAACCCTGAAAATCGTCACAAGGAAGGTACACATTGGGCTGGAATCGAGAACGTAGGTACAAATCAGATAACCTTAAGGGGAAGGGGAAAGCAAGTAGCCTTGGAGAGAGTCAGCTTGGGGAGGGCAGAGGTTAAGAAACGTGGCGAAGACCGCCCTGGGAAATGGCTTCACGGTGATGCCAGGCTGAGAGGCCGAAGATTACTCTCGCGGACCCAAGGTCCACAGCAGGATTTAAGGCTAGGGGGTTCCCTTTCCTCCCTCTCCTCTCTCTCTGTCCTTTAAAAACAGAGCCTGATTCGACAGAGGCATTCCCAGCTGCCAGGAAAGAAAGCAGCAACGGAGGGGCTCAAGAACGTTCCTGGCCCCAAAGTGGTCTCTCTGGGGGTGGAGCCCCGAGAGGTCGGAGGGGTCAGGTAGGATCACAGCTCAATGCAGCCTCGCTCGGGCTTTGGCGACTCTGCCCGGGGAGAAAGGAGGTTCCGCAGCAGGTGAAAGGCTTTTTCCAAAGCGCCCCCTGGATTCCTGGATTCCAGGGTGCTGAGATTGCCGACGGCGCTACGGGGCGCCCGCCGAGCGCGCTCGCGCGCGCTCTCTCTCTCTCTCTCTCTCTCTCTCTCTCACACACACACACACACACACACACACACACACACACACACGCACACACGTGTCTTCTCCCCATATGGTTAGCGCTTCCAGGTTTCGTCTAGCTCCTGCTCACCAGAAATAGAAAATTAATCACGCCGAAGAACCGACAGCGGGGCTCAGGGAGGGCTGGGAAGGGAAAGTGCGCAAAGGGGGCCCAGAGAGCAAGCTGTCCGCGCAGACGGCTCTGCGGAATCTGCGCGCACCCGCAGTCTCGCGTTCTCCGGAGCCCGCCGGGAGGTGGGGACAGGGGACCCGGGGGCCCGCGCACCCCCGGCTCGCCTTCCGCGCAGCCAGCAGATGGCTCCCGGGCCCGCGCTCCCCCCGCGCTCCGTCGCCCCCTCTCCAGACGCAGGACCGGGGCGGTCGGGGAGGGAGGCCGCAGGGAGGGGCGCCCGCCCGCAGCCCCGCAGCCCCGCAGCCCCGCAGCCCCGCAGCCCGGCGCAGCGGCCTCCTCCCCCGGGCGCTCCGCGCAGGAGGCCGGCCCGGGACGCGTGCGGAGGCCGGCTCTCGCGAGGTGAGGAGGAGCGCCGGCGGAGGCGGTGGAGGAGAGGCGGGAGGAGCAGGAGCAGGAGGAGCAGGAGGAGGGCGAAGAGCGGGAGCGGTAGGAGGAGGCGGCGCAGGAGCAGGAGGAGCAAAGGAGGAGGAGCAGGAGGAGGGGGAGGAGCAGGAGCAGGAGGGGGACGGAGGAGGTGCAGCAGCAGGAGGAGGGAGAGGCGCCGGGGGAGGAGCAGCAGGAGGAGGGGGAGCAGGGGGAGGGCCGGAGCCGCCCCCGCCCAGCCCGGCGGGAGCCGAGGAAACCCCGGCCCCGCCGCGGCGCCGCTCCGCCCGCCCCCTCCGCACGCCTTCCGCCTTCACCTAGGGCCGTAGGTGCGGCGCGGGGCCGGGCGGCAGGAGCGGCGCCGGGAGCCGCAGCCGCAGCCGCAGCCGGCTTCCGCCGCACCTACGGCCCCAGGTGAAGGCGGAAGGCGTGCGGAGGGGGCGGGCGGAGCGGCGCCGC